AGGTGGCTCTGGGGACAGTCATGTTTCTGATGCCCTTCACAGGCACTGAACCTGCCCGTGGTGGGGTCCCAGCTGGTGGGGCTTGTCCCCAAGAAGGCCATGCTGGACACAGCCGAGTTTTATATCAAGAAGGAAAAACTCTTCATCCTGGAGGAGGAACAGAAGATCAGGCTGGTAATGTGGCTCCTCCTGGTACCAAGACAAGGGTGGGATTATGGGAGAGACACATGCACACACCACCCCCACCCCCACCCCCCCAGACTCCCAAAGTGGCACTGAGCAAAGATTTGGGTCCACGGCAGCCCCCAGGCATGACACTTATCTCCAGGGATGGTGCCTGGCAAGCTGTGAGGGCACAGTGACGGCGACAAGTTGCATTATTGCTGAGGATGTCGAGATGCTCAGCGAACAGGGACCCCATCCCGTGAGGACAGAGGGCAGGCAGCAGCTGCCCAGCACGGAGGCCAGGAGGGGAAGGAGACCTCCCCAGAGCTCAAGGACAGTGCGTGGCATTAGGGGACACTGCCCCAGCACCAGCGTAAGCTGGCAATGAGGAGACAGGCTCTGCTGCAGGAGGGAGGGACTTTTCCACCCTATGGGGAACGTGCTAGATAAGAGCAAGCTAATTATTTATCGGTGCAGTTTCCAGTCGTTTGTAGGCAGCCGCACGCTGCCCCCACGTCTGGGACGGGATGGTGACACCGGCTGTCCTCTCCCTGGGTGGTGTCCTGAGCAACTCTGTCCTAGGGCTGGATCACCCATGGTTAATTAACAGCAGGGAATGAGGATACAATGGGACTTACCGTGACGGGGCTGATGTGGCGGTGCTGCTTCTTGCAGGTGGTCAGCCGGCTGGGCCTGGACTCCCTGTCTGCATTTCACCCCCGGGAGCGCATCATTGAGTAGGGACCCCTATCCTGCTTCTCGTCATGCTGCCCACCCCTGCCCGGATGGGGGGGATCCCGCTGCCTTTATCTTGCACTCAGCTTGTTTTGGGAGTGGTGCCTGCACCCAGCTCCTCTTCACACCCAGGGGACATCTCTGCCGGGGGTTGTACAGGGTGGTCCCTGCTCCCAAATGCTGATGGTGGTGAATGTGGGGTGGGTGGGCTCCAGATCACCCAGGCAGGCAGCAGGAGCAGATTTTGTGGCCAAACTTGAGCAAGTATGCGTTAAAACCTCCATCCTATCTTCCACCCCATCCCCACCCCAAATTTCACTGCCTCTGGCTCACACGCTGCCCTCCAAGGAGAGACGCCGTGCTGCGGCACCCGGTGTAAAATGCATGTGTGTGGGGGGAGAGGAAGGGAAATCCACCTGTGCCAAGGTGCAATCAGGATGTGCACTTTAAGTCCTTTGTCGTCCCCCCCATGGACGTGGCTGCAGGCATGCTTCTGTCCCACCAAATGCTGTTTGCACAAGCCCACCCTGTCTAATGCAGAGCAACCCCCCAGCATCACAGGACGTGCTACCCAGCTGTCTGTCTGTCCCCAAGGGGCTGCTTGTCCTCTCCCCAACCCTCCTGCTGGGTTTTTTGGGCTATCCCCTTTCTCAGCCACCCGCAGAGCCAAGGGGTGGATGAAAACCTGTTGGAGAGGGCAGTGGTGGGACCGGGTGGTGGTGGTGGTGGGTGTCCCTGCACCTGGGGGGCTCTGACCCACAGGACCGCTGTGCCGCAGGTACCTGGTGCAGGCAGGAGAGGTGGATGGGGGGCTGGTGGCCAAGCCGCTGGGTGCCTTCGTACGAGCAGTCGGTGGCAGGGCCGCAGGGCCGGGGGGCGTGCAGCTGCGGCTGCCATGGTACGTGCCTCACACCGGGATGGCGTCCCTGCCTGGGGGGTCCTCTGGATGTGCCGAACCTCTGAGGGGAGCCGGCATGGCAGTAGCGGCGGGCGCTGTGTCCTGCTGGAGGATTTACCCCTGTGCCCTCGCAGGGAGCGGCGCTGGGCTGCATGGTGGGGCTGATGAGCTATGGGAAGCGGCAGTTTGAGGAGCTGGACCCCATCATGAGGAAGCTGATCCCCCCCTTCCACCAGGCCATGGACGAGCTGGGGGCAATGGTGGACGCCGACTCCCGTGCCTTCAGCAGCTACATGGTGAGGTCCCACCAGTGGCAGAAGTCCTGTGGGGAAGCTGGGTGGGGGGGGTTTCCAGCTGGGACAGGGGCCAGCATCGCTGCATCCCGGTGTCCTTAGGAGCAGGGCTGTGACCTTGGCCCAAGCCAGGGCCAGGGAAGGCACATCATCACCTAAAGGAGGTTTGCAAGACCATGGGAGCTACCAGGTCTGCCCTGGATGCCGATGCAAGGCACGCAGAGTCTTGGAGCAAATGGCAGCAAATCTGCTTTTCTTTGCCTGCAGGAAGCTATGAAGCTGCCAAAAAGCACCCCTGAGGAGCTAGAGAGGTGAGCTGGGCTGGTGGGGATTTGCCGAGTGGCCACCACGGGCACCCAGCACTCACCTGGGGTTTTTTTTCGTGTGGCTGCCATGCAGCAGGGGCTGAAGACGGCCGTGAGGGTGCCCTGTGCCCTGGCAGAGAAGGTGAGCGGGCTCTGGCCTGCTCTGAAGGACCTGGCACGCCACTGCAACCTGGCCTGCAAATCCGACATCCAGGTATGGCCCCGGGCTCACGCGCTGGCCTGGCTGGGGCTTTGGAAGAGCCGGGCTCACCGCATTTCCCTGCGAGGTGTCCCATCGTGTCCTGATGCATCTGTCCAGCCGCACTGCCCAAACTGGCCAGCGGTTTCTGCACGCTCACGTTTTGGCAGCTTGCAGCCCTTGTAGAGAGCTGACCCCCGCCAGCCCTCGCCTGAGTTTTCCCTCCTGTGTGGCAAGGCCACGAATGGTTCCTGCTGCCGCAGCCTGAAAACACCATGTTGGAAAGCGTTGGGTGCCGCTGGGTGACGGAGGGGGGGGGGGGGGCCTTCCGCGCGAGGGTCTCGTTTTTGTGTGGTGGTGTTCAGTTTCATCAGGAGAGCTTCTCGCAAGCCTCTTTTCCTAGGTGGGAGCCAAAATGCTGGAAGCAGCTGTGTTTGGAGCTTACTTCAACGTCATGATCAACCTCAAAGACATAACGGATGAGAAGTTTAAGCTTGCGGTAAGCAGGGGCCGTGTGTGTGCCCTGGCCCTGGTGGCGGGCATGAGGTGGGACAGAGATGCAGATAAAACCCCTGGGACCCCTCATGCCCGGGCACACCATCCCTTTGCCACCAGCGGGATGCATGGGGTGGACGGTGGACAGCTCTTCTGTCCTGTCGAGTGGCAAACGATGCTCCTTCTCCCTCTCCACGCAGATGTCACAGAAGGTCTCTGGACTGCTGGAGGAGGCGAAGCAAGGCTCGGCGCTCGTGCTGGCGCTGCTGGAGAAGCGGGTGGCCTGAGAGGGGCTCGGTGATGGGTGCGGGGGTTCTGCAGCAGCAAATACAGCTGGGAAACACACTCGTCCCTGCCTGGGCTCCTTTGGTATCCACCTCAGAAGAGCTGCTCTGCTCAGGCAGATCCCAGCATCATGTTCTCTGCTGGCCTTTCCATGGCCAAGGGTGATTTTTGCTGCGTGGGGCTCTCACCCCAGTCTCCATCCCCCCCATCCCTGGGCCAGAAGGATCCAGCTGCCTTGGCAGTGCCCAGGGCCACAGGGCTCCCAAGAGAGGGGATGGCAGGGACCCCGTGGTGCTGCCTGGGTGGAGATCCCTGTGCGTGGGCACCTCCTGACCCCGCACACCCTTGTGTGTTTCTGTGCCCAGACACCCCCCCCGAGACACCCCCCTGCCCCCAGGACTGGGACAAGTCCTGGCACAGCCCCTCTCTGCGAGGTGTCTTGTTGACAGTGCATGACGAGATCAGCCTGTTGCACTGCTCACTGGCCCGGGAATGGACCATGGCCAAATGCGGGGCAGCATTGGGGGTGTTAGCAGGGAGATGGGGACCAGATGGGAGGAGCTCTGCCCCCTCCTCATAGACCCCCCGAGAGGAAGACCTGAGCACTAGGACATCCAACCCTGCCTCCTCTCTGTTGACCAGGTCTGATGGCAGATATCACTTCGTCCACCTGCACAGCATGGCAGCACCCTGAGCAGTGTCACAGGGAGTCATTAGCTGCACCCTGAGTCCTGCTGTCCCACAGCAGTGCCTGCGGGTGGGTGACACCCCCATGCCCGGACACTGTGCCCACGCTGGGAGCACCCAGCCAGGGTTCGTGGTGGGGACGCCTGACTCACTCCATCACCTGACGCCAGGACGTGAAACCACCACCCTCCGTCCCGTTTTTATCAGCCCCGTGGAACCTTTGTGCAGGCTGGGAGTGGCGTGTTGACATTTTCCTTGTGCCCATGGTGACAGCCGTGGTGCAGGGAGCGGTGCGGCCGGAGCGTTGTCCCCCGTGCCCGCCGCACCCCTCCTCACCCGGGCAGGGCCCCGGTATTTAATGGGTGCCTGCCACCCCGGGAGAGCCGTGCCGAGGACGGTGACCAGGGGTGCTGCTGGTGGCGGTGCCTTCAGAGGGTGCTGCCAGCATTGCCTCTGCTAGGAGCTTTTCTGCAGGCCTGGTGC